GTCTTTCATGCTCTGTTCAAGAGTACCACATTATGTATCGTCAAACAAAATTTGCTGATGTGCTAATTTTATACCAGAAACGTGTTTGACAGATCGACGTATTCGGCTTCTCATAGGGCAGGCTGCCGCTTGTCGCCAGTTTCGTCATACGGCGGCAGCTAGCAATAAACTAAACGCAGCTAAACGAAACTGACATCGAACATTGTTCTTGATGCTGCAGACGTACTGATTAACTGTTAACAGCCGCGGCCACATGCAGAATGATCTGGCTTTCAGGGGCATTCAGAGAGCCGAAAAAGCAAAAATTTGCTGCATTTAGCTTCGTTTGGCGTCAGCGAGATGAAAAAAATTGTTTTAGTTTTTGTGCTCTCTGTTGTATTGTCTTTCATTGAGAGAATACTACATTATGCTTCCAGCAGCTGCTTTGCTCCTCCCCCACCCGCTATTAAAATAATATGTTTCTTTCCTTCACCGTAATCAGAAAAGGTGAACGCAAGGGAGGCGTCAGGCATGACGATCGTTAAAATTTAGAGTGGTTATTCATGTTATAAAACCGTTAGTTTGGTGGCCGACTCATCGGATTAGAACGACGTGTAAACCTATGAATCACACAACGGGAAGCTCGACATGTGCTTTGTCTTTCTATACTTTCTCATTACTGCGCAGAAGCTTCAGTTTAAGTTAGGTCTTGTTATGTTTACTGCTATATTGGATAGAAGATATCTGCTTTTAAGCGGTTCGATGTAGTAAAATTTGCGCTCTGCTTATTTGGTAGAAGTGTTTTGACTAATTGAATGACGGTAATCATCCACATGTATTCTCACACTGTAGCGTACTCGGTGATGCATACCCTTATCGTATGACAAGAAATGATATTTGTATTTATTTTGATATAGTTCTTAGTCAGTTGACTAATTTATTTCATCATCTGGGTTCTCAGTGAGAAAATTAGAGGATGTATGAACTCTGCGATATGAGAATAATATTCAAGATAGTCAGCGGGTTAACCAGCCAATCTTTTTTTCATTCCAAGTTCATGGAGCCCAATGGTTATTGTATTACATATTGCAGGGCATTGTTTATCAAGAATTGTTGCATGGGCAATCAGCTGTCTTGCTTTTATTCATTTATCTGTAATTGAGATGTTAATAGTCAATCGTCTTCTTTAACATATACAGTGCATCTATAGAACCAACAGCTGTTCTTTGACCAGGTCGCTCGTTGAACACTGTCGTAGATAAGCTTCATTAATAATACAGCGACCATATGTAAGTGCGAATATCTTAACAGCGTTGGACATAACTTATGCAGATATGCACTGATGTGACAAGCACTGCTACAGTCAAGCTGTCGCTCGCAAAGTGAGTAGCCAGAAAATATGAAGGGGTGGACAGTTCTGCAGTAGGGATTGATGGTTCTGTTATGCGAAGCGGTAGGGTGATTGCCGGATACCTCCGACGGCATCAAGGCAAGATAGCGCCATTAGTACAGTTGTGAAACTGCCCCCTCCCCCATCGCTTCGGAAAGGAGGTTAGAAAATTGGTGCTATTTTGTTGTTGACAGATACCTGTTTCCTGAGTGAATATCGATTACTCATTGTAAGCTCCAAATTTCCTCGTTGAAAGACAATTAACTTATGGCAATTTTTGAATGTGCGAAACGGGCATCAGCTACCGCGGTTAGATAATTATTCGTAGTGGAGTGCGTAATGGCAGTCG